GATCATGGAACATATATTGAAAGTTGTGATCTTAAGTACAGTTCCAAGTCATTGGATGTTTCGAGATGGGATATCGAATAAATCCAGAAAAGACTTGCACATAATATGTATGCTTATTAGATAAGAATGTTGCATTTCATCAACATTAGCGTGGGATGCAAATACATATATGTGGGTGCTTGTTAGAGAACAAGTTCATTGAACATGACCGTATGAAAATTCTTAATGAAAGTTTATCATGTCGAAAAGAAATTTCATGTTACAATAGTACATGATTAATCCTTAGACTTGAGGCACGATGGTAACTTTGTGCAAATAATATTTTACTTTGATTTATCCTTTTGATTGCTAGCACAATCGTATAAAGGGATATTTTGGGTATTATATTAATATGTACAGAAGTTTGTCAGTGGCCAACAAAGGATTCGACACTTATGACGATAAGTGAATTTCCTATGTGTTTCATAGTTAGTAATTCAAAGTCCTTGGCCAAGGCGGGATGAATAGAGATTTATAAATGAATTACTAAAACTTCAAATGGAATCATAATTATTAAATCAATTTGGGTTTCGACAAAATCATACCCAAAGATTTAATTCGGGAAATTGGATGTCGAAAGGATATTACATGTATGGACTTGTAATCGAAATAGGTTTACTCGCTATTCACTTAATACTAGATTATGCTACTTGCTAGATGTTCCCATGATATGTGGGTTCTTGAATAAGGAGTTAATTCATGAATAAGAGTTAATAAGATTAACTCAAATTACAAAGAGTTGTAAACCCACTACTAGTATTAATTGTGAACCTAAAAGGTCACACCAATTTTTGAATGAAGGTGAAATTCAAATAGTATTTCTAAAGAGTTAGAAAAAATTGACATGGGTCGTGTGACATAAGTCACATGGGTCGTGTGGGTTTACACGGGTCGTGTGCTATTATCACACGGGTCGTGTGACACAAAAGAAAAATTTGATTTTTCTTTCGGTTTTTTCACACGAGTCGTGTGACGTAGTCACACGGGTCGTGTGGACTCACATGGTCGTGTGATTTGATAACACGGGTCGTGTGACATAGTATTTTTTTTATTATTATGTTTCAATTCATGTGATGAATGTTTAATTTAGGGATGATCATGAGCCTTTTATTCAATTTGATTGAGTGTCTCTTTTTATTCAATATGATTGAATGGTTGTAATTTTATTCAATATGATTGAATGATTGTAATTGAATGGTTGTAATTTTATTTAATATGACTGAATGATTGTAATTTAGCGAGACCTGCGAGTCTCTTGTTTTATTCAATTTTATTGAATGTTGTACTTTTATTCAATATGATTGAATGATTGTAATTTATCGAGACCTCCGAGTCTCTTAAGTTATGATTTGTAAAATTTTAAATTTTTTGTATCGATAAAAGATTAGATCAGGTTGGAGAACCCTTCGATGCAAAAGGCCCACGCTTGTGTGGGTAATTTTACAAGTTATAAATCTCGAAGGCCTGTGCTTGTACGGGTAGATAAAATAAAATGTAATAGAAGTAGTTCTATTTATTTGTTTTATCACGTGAATAGGCATAGACCCATTTTGGCTCGAATGGGTCGTATAGGCAAGGTCATGATCATCCCACCGTATGCATGCATTAGATGTATGTTAGGTTTATTTATGCTTGTGATACATGCGATGAATAATGCAGTAAATAAACACATGTAAAGATGGTAATTGATTAGATCTAAGGAACCCTAAAGAATTAATTTGATTAATTCTATATCAAATCAGTAATGGATAAAAATAAGTTGGAACTTATTAATCCAGGCCTTCCATTAAAAGTAGACGACATGAGATGCTAAGATGCTTTATCACCGACCATGAGTCGTGGGGTGGTTTTGTGTCGAAAGTTGTGATCCCTACTAAGTTTTACTCGCGAGGTGGATTCCTCTTTATGTTGACCATGAGTCGTGGGACATTCTGGTGGGCCACTATCATGAATGTTTGGTGGGTTTGATTTGACAATTAGTAATATATACGGTCATTAAATTGAGGTATATAAGGAAAAGTGAGGCAAAACATCTTGAAGAATGTATAATGATACAATTGTCAAAAGCTGACTACCGATATAATTGTTGCATGAGTACTCATAAAATTGGGATATGAAATAATTTTATTGGACTTCAAGCCCACTATGAAAATTAGATTTTCATATTTAAAACGGGGTTTTAATTAAAATAGTGGGAGACATTTAATATTTTTTTTTCAAAACGATAGACATCTCATAAATAAGAAAAAAAATACAATGTCTTGAGATCGAGAACAGACAACCAAAAATACAAGACACAACAACTACAATAACACAGAGCCGGGAAATGAGAGGATCACTCAAATGGTGTCCTAGAACCCAACTAATCAATCTTGAAGCTAGGCAGTCTCTTGACTGGGTCCTAACCTCAAACCAGCACACAAAAAAATAAAACAAACTGGGGAAGAAAAAAGACACAACAACAATAGAAAGACACAACTACAACAAAGCAACCAAACTCCCAAGTCTAAGACCTGAACCCTCTACTAGCCCTGAAAGATAACCAATCCTGATGAGCTGCTTGGACTATGAGGTGAGCAGGCCTTTTCACTTTCTCAAACATCCATAAGTTACGTGTTTTCCAGAGCCACCAGAGGATATATGTCGATAATTGTATTCTTGCCTCTGATATCTCTGATTTGTCTAGTTGGCAAATAGACCATCACCAGTCCTTGAAAGATTCTCCCTCTCGGGGCCCATCCCATTTCACAGGTGAGAGCTTCCAAACCAGCTTTACAGAATTACAATGGAATAAAAGGTGCTCCACAGTTTCTAGACCATCTCCACAGATTGAACAAACACCTTCTACCTCTATCCCTCTGGCCTTCAGGTTATGACTAACAGGCAAAGTGCCATTAAAGCATTTCCAGATAAAGTGCTTAATCTTGCCCATGACTTGGAGTTTCCAACTTCTGCTCCTGACTTTGATATCTCTGGCCAAGTCTTTACTCCCCTGTGGCTGCCCTATTTTAAGGTACTTCTCAGCAATGAGTTGAGCATAGGTGGACTGAACTGAGAATAAACCCTTGCTATGCAACTTCCATTTCCAAGTGTATTCTTGGTGTGGATTAAGAGAGTTGATGGTGAGAATTTGGTCACAGATGTGTGGGGGAAAGGTTCTTCTCAACTTATTTTCATCCCAACTCCAACCATCTTCAGTCATAAGATCTTTAACCCATACACAGCCTCTGTCTATACCAGGCAGCAGCTCCACTGTTTGGCTTGTGAGGTTTGGCAACCAATGCTGATCCCAGATTTTTGTAGAGTTGCCATTCCTGATTTCCACCTGCATCCACTTAGCACATATTTGCAAGACTGCATGCCAACTTCTCCAGAGCCAGGATGAGCTTGACTGAATGGATGCATCAAACAGTGAAGAGTTAGGATAATATTTAGATTTGAGAACTCTTCTGACCAAGGATTCAGGCACAGTGAGTACCTCCAAAGCTGTTTGGCAATTAGTGCAGTGTTGAAAAGTTGGATGTCCGGGAATCCAAGTCCTCCAAACTTCTTTGCCAATGTTAATTTGTTCCAAGCCACCCAAGGGAACCCTTTAGAAGGGTCAGAGTCTTTACTCCAACAAAAATTGCTACAAATACTGGAAATTTCCTTACACAAGGTGGTAGGCAGAACAAAGCAGGACATAGCATAAACAGGAAGTGCATTGAGAACAACTTTGATGAGGATTTCCTTACCTGCTGTGGACAACCACTTATTCTTCCAGCTGCAGATTCTTTTCTTAACCACAGCGAGGATATAATCAAAAGCTTCTCTCTGATCTCCCAATGCCCATTGGAAGACCCCAAATATCTTGTAGAAGAGTGAATTTGAATGCCAGATGGAACAGAGCAACACTTGTCTTTAATGCTGTCTGGAGTATTTTTGCTGAAGAAAACTGATGATTTAGCCATGTTCACCTGTTGCCCTGTGAAATTATGGTAAGCTTGGAGAATATTCAGAATTTTGGTGGTCTGATGTTCATCTGCTTTACAAAAAAGTAGAGTGTCATCTGCAAACAGTAAGTGGGTCAGTGTGGGGCCATTTCTGACCAATCTAACCCCTTTGTAGCTCCAATTTTCTGCAGCCCATTGAATTTTGGCAGACAACAACTCTGAGATAATAATAAAGAGGTAGGGGGATAGAGGATCCCCCTGCCTAATACCTCTATTGGCAGTAATGAAACCACAAGGCCTTCCATTCATATTAATAGAGAAAGAAGGAAATTGAATATAGGCCATAATCCACTTCACAAACTTAGCACAGAATCCCATTCTTAACATAGTCAATTGAACAGGCTTCCACTCAAGGCTATCAAAAGCCTTCACCATGTCAAGCTTCAAAGCCATGAAATAATTATTCCCTGATCTGTGCTTATTCAAAAAGTGAAAGACTTCATGCCCTATCACAACATTATGCAGAATTTGCCTTCCAGGAAGAAAGGCAGCTTGGTTCTTAGAAATGCATTCGTTGAGACAAAGTCTTAGCCTAGAAGCCTTAGATCTTGGAAATAACTTTATAGAAAACTTCACATAAGCTTATGGGTCTATACTGACTAATAGATATTTGATTAAAACATTTTGGAATGAGGGTGATTAATGTATGCTTCCAGTACTTCAATAACATACAGGAATCAAAAAAGCTTTTAACAGCAAAAATGATGTCTTTACCAATGATGGGCCAGAAGTGCTGATAGAAGAGCCCAGTCATGCCATCTTCCCCAGGTGCTTTGTCAGGGTGGATACTAAAGACTGCTTCTTTGATATCATCATCTTCCACATGTGCTGTTAGAATGTCATTCATATCATCAGTGACTGACTGCTTGATTAAGGGAAGGAATTCATGTCCCCCTTTGGAACCCTGGGATGTAAAAAGCTTAGTGTAGTAATATGTGATGGCTGCTTAGATCTCCTTTGCATTGTCACTGATTTTATTCCTTTCAGTCACCAGTCTAACTATAGAGTTCATCTTCCTTCTCTGAGAAACAAAGGCATGGAAGAATTTGGTGTTTTGGTCTCCTTCTCTGAACCAAAGAGCTCTAGCTTTTTGCCTCCAGTATATCACCTCAGAAACATTAGCTTCATTTAACTCTTTTTGAATTTTTTCCCAGGTGTCCCAGTCTCTGTCTCCTCCAGCTTTCCTGAGCTCCTCCAGCTGCAGAGTGAGATTGCTGATTTTTGAGGCATGCTCTGCTCTAAAATACTTGCTCCAGCTCAGAAGTGCTTGCCTGGTTCTTTTTATCTTTTCTTTGATGATGTACATAGGAGTACCCCATGCAGGAGTGTCCCATGATTGTTTAACCACTTCATTAACTTCTTCTTTTCTGATCCAACGTTTATCGAACTTGAATCTTTTTTTGAATTTGCCAGGTGCTTCAGAGAAGAAGATGACCAGCATAGTGTGATCAGAGGCACTTCTGAACCAGCTGGTTACCTTTGTTTCAGGGAATGTAGTAAGCCAATCCAGGGAGACAAACAGTCGGTCCAAAGTTTCCTCTTCATAATTCAGCCCTGCTCTGTTATTGGTCCAGGTATAAGGCAATCCCTGGAGAGAAATTTCTTGTACACCTATCTGAGCTAGAAATTGGTTGAAATCCCAAAAACTCCTGTCTGATTTTCTTTGGCCCCCTTTCTTATCTGTAGCTCTGCAAATTGCATTCCAATCTCCGGCTATACACCAGACTGGCCCCCATTTGGATTTTTCATTCACTAGATAGTCCCACTGAAGGGTTCTCTCAGCTTTAGAAGAACTGAGATAGACAAACACAACCCAACAGGAACAATCTTTAGATTTATCAATAAAGTTAACAGCAATAAAGAAACTCTGACTATAAATATTTACAATAACCACATCATCATCCCAAAAAAGCATAAGCCCACCCCCAGTACCACATGGCTCTACAATGTAATGTCTGTTTGCAAACCCCAATCTAATGCATAAGGAAGAAGCAAATTTTTTATTTTTCTTGATTTCAGAGAGGAACAAAAAAGATGGGTGATGGATCCTTAAGGATTCCTTGATCTGGGGAACTGTAGAGGGCCCACCCAGACCTCTACAGTTCCATAACAGAACATTCATGGGGACTCTGAGGGCTTTTTTAGGCAAGCCCTCTCCACCTTAGTTAAACTTAGCTTTGCTTTCTTGTCTGGATTTTCTGGGATCTCCTTAATCTGTTGAGTATCAAAACAAAGGAGGTTGATCTCCCTTGGCCTTTTGTGCATCAGAGTCGTTAAGTCCATGAGGCTATCATTGGGATTCCTAAGGAGCCTTCCTTCCTTTTGTGTTGTTCTTCTCCATGTGGCACTGCCCACCACTGCCCCCTTCTTGCTTTTCCCTTTAGATTTAGCAGCTTCTCTGTGAGGGGGAGCATCCTCACCAGTGATATTGATTGCCATCATCTCCATTTCTGCTTGAGAGGATGAAACTCCTGTATGGACTGGACTAGGTTTAGGACAGTAGATGACCAGCCCTTTCTCTGGAGATTTAGAGGGAAAATGATCTTCATTTGTACTGGTAGCTTGGTTCCCATTTTGTTCATTCTGGCTGTGGGCTGTAAGTTTAGCAGAAGCATCATTAGTCATAACCTCCTCATTGTTATTTGTGTTGGGGTTGTTATTAGTATTGGTAGGGGATGTAGATGGCTCCTTTGCTTGCCCAGATGAAGAAGTCCCCTGATTTCAGTTTAGACTCTGCAACCCTTCAGTGGCTCGCAACCAATCACCAAATTGACCCTCATGGAGCATCTTGTGTTTGATATCATCCATTCCCAGCTTACAGGATTTCTCAATGTGTCCGATCATGCCGCAGTAGAAGCAGAGATTAACTAGGCGTTCGTATTTGAATGTAACAGTGACAATTTGGGAGCCCAGTCTAATGGAGGTGCATCTGGGTAGCGGCTCATGAAGATCGACAGTGACTAGCAGTTTGATGAGTCGACCTCCTTGATAGGCTAGGTTGGTAACAATTACGTTGGACACATCTTTGAAAATTTGGCCAATTTTGAGACCTACCTCAGACGTCATCCAGTTGAGGGGCACATTGTGGACTTGCACCCAGAGATTTAGCTCCGAGAAACATTTAGCAGAGCTATTCATGCCTGGTTCCCACCGCCTGAGTATGAGAAACTGATTTTCAAAGATCCAGTTCGTGCCTCCTTCAACTTTCTGGAGATCCTCAATATTGGCGAAAATGTATTGAAAGAAATTCGCTCCCAGCTCTCTAACTTCCAAGGAACTTTTCAGACGCCAAATCTGAGTCATGGCTTTTTTGATACCCGCCAGGCTAGCCCTTTTATCACCCGCTATGCGGCCAAAAAGGCTATGGTGACATTCTTCCACACCCGATCTGACATCGGCATCCCCTAAATCGATGATTTTGTTCTCCACTTTAGAAAGAGAAAAAACCCTAAGTTGTTGTTCTACTTCGTCAGCAGCCGATTGAGAACACTGGTCTACCATGGGATTGATTAAAGGCAGAAGAAGAAGGAGACCTCTTCAGTGAGAGGAAGGAAGCTTTCCGGCGAAAGAAGATGCTCTCCGACGAGAGAAACGGCTCCCCTAGAGAGAGAATTTCGAGAAGCTATTGAATATGTTATTTTGGAGACATTTAATGTTAAAGACCTAATATTAAATGAATATAAATTCCATAGTCTGATTATTTTCTGCTTCGTTTGTTTTTGTAGATCACTCTACTAAAATGGCTAGGAATCCAATTGCAAGTATCCTTGAACAAAACAAATTAACTGGACCCAATTGTAATGATTGGCTGAGGAACCTGAAAATTGTTCTACGGTCTGAAAAGAGGGACTATGTATTGGACAAAGCCCTCCTCCTCCACCCGAGGATCGGACATCTGATGAGTATGGAGAATACTTACGTCATACTGATGACAATCTCCAGGCTCGGTGCTACATGTTAGCATCAATGTCAAATGAGTTACAGACACAGAATGAATTGTTGAATAATGCTTCTGAAATCCTCCTTCATCTACAAGAGTTGTATGGTGATAGGACGCGGCAAATTAGATATCAGATATCTAAGGAGCTTTTCAGGTGTCGTAAGACTGAGGGCTCTTCACTTCATGACCATGGGCTAAAGATGATAGCTCTTGTTGAAAGGCTTTCGTCCCTTGGAGTCATTATGGATAATGAACTCTATGTGGATCTCATGATCCAATCTCTGCCATCATCATTTGACAGCTTTGTTGTTAATTTCAACATGCATAATATGGAGACTTCTCTACCAAAATTAGTGAACATGTTAAAGACGGCTGAATCCACAATAAAAAAGGATAAGCCGGTGCTTCTTGTTGGATCCATTTCTGGATCAAAGGCTTTAAAATCTAAGAAAAGGAAAGGAAAGGGAAAGGTTCCCAATAAACCCAACAAGAAGGCAAATAATAACAAAGGGAAGAACAAAGAGAAGGTTAATTCTCAGTCTAATCATGAATGATATCATTGTGGTAAAACTGGGCATTGGAAGAGGAACTGCAAGGAGTATCTTGCAAGCCTGAAAAGTTCAGGTATTTATTTTGTTGAAGTTAACTTATCAGTTAATGATTCTTCTTGGGTATTGGATACCGGCTGTGGTTCACATATTTGCAATGATTTGCAGATGATGGCAAGAAGTAATAAGCTAGAAGATGGAGAAACAATCCTAAGGATGGGCAATGGAGCAAAAGTGGCTGCCAAAGCAATTGGGACTGTTTATCTAGCTTTAAATAATGATGTAAAAATTTGTCTTACAAATTGTTTGTATGTTCCAGATATTATAAGAAATATTATTTTTATTCCAGTAATGGATAGAGAAGGTTTTAAGTTTGTTATTGAGAATGGAAGATGTTCCATTTTCAAAGATACAACTTTTATATATTCCGAAAATTTGACAAATGGGTTATATACCATTACACCACAAAGTCCCATCCTAACTATTCGACAAAATAAAAGAAAATTAGATAATCATAGTTCATCACACTTTGGCATGCTAGATTAGGTCATATATCAGAAAAGAGGATTCACAAATTGGGACCAAAACTAGACCTTAGGGGAGAGGAAAGGTTGCATACTTGTGAGTCATGTCTTAAAGGTAAAATGACAAAATCACCATTTTTTGGACAAGTGGAGCGAGCTAAAGGTCTGTTGGATTTTATCCATACAGATGTTTGTGGACCACTAAATGTTAGTGCCAAGGGGAACTACTACTATTTCATAACTTTTACTAATGATTATTCACGGTATGGTTATGTATACCTATTAAGGTACAAATATAAAGTATTTGAAAAGTTCAAAGAATTCAGAAATGAAGTAGAGATACAAATTGGTCGTAGTATAAAAGTTCTTCGATCAGATCGAGGAGGTGAATATTTGACCAATGAGTTTCTTGATTATTTAAGAGATAATGGGATTATTTCACAGTGGACACATCCTGGAACTCCACAACTAAATGGGGTTTCAGAAAGAAGGAATCAAACATTGTTGGACATGGTTCGATCAATGATGAATTCCACTAGTTTACCTCTTTCATTCTGGGGCTATGCCTTAGAAACAGCAGCACATATTTTGAATAGAGTGTCGAGTAAAGTTGTACCCAGCACACCTTATGAGATATGGTGTGGAAAAACACCCTCGTACAAGTATTTAAAAGTATGGGGTTATACTTCTTATGTGAAGCAGTTAGTGGGAGGTAAGTTGAATATGAAATCCATCTTATGTAAATTTGTGGGGTATCCAAAAGAGTCTATTGGATATTATTTATATGACCCCTCTGAACAAAAGGTGTTTGTTTCGAGGAATGTTTTTTCTTAGAGGAAGAGTTTCTCTCAAAGAATAGCGGAGTCATAGAACTTAATGAAGAACCACAAGAAATTCCACAAAATGCCATAAATAACATACCATTAGAGACTGGACCATCTGTAACACAATCTCTTCGGAGATCTGAAAGGATTTCTAGGGCGCCCGAGAGGCTATACCTATTGTTAGAGAACAATAAAGAGGGACTCCTTTTGGATAATGATCCAATAAACTATGATGAGGCAATGTCAGACATTGACTCAGATAAATGGCAAGAAGTTATGCAATCCGAGATAGACTCCATGTATTCAAACAAAGTATGGACTTTGGTTGATCCACCATAGGGTATAGTACCCATAGGTCGTAAATGGGTTTACAAACGAAAACGTGGTATAGATGGAGAAGTTAATACTTTTAAAGCAAGACTGGTTGCTAAAGGTTATACTAAAAAACAAGGTGTTGATTATGAGGAAACTTTTTCACCAGTAGCAATGCTTAAATCTATTCGGATATTGCTAGCATTAGTTGCGTATTATGACTACGAGATATGGCAAATGGATGTGAAAACTGCTTTTCTTAATGGGAACGAACATTAAGGAAGACATTTATATGAAACAGCCGCAGGGTTTCATATCCAGTGGGAGTGAACAAATGGTTTGTTAGCTTCAAAGGTCCATTTACTTAAACAAGCTTCGAGGAGTTGGAACATTCGGTTTGATGAAATGATCAAAACGTTTGATTTTCATAAGAATCCGGATGAACCATGTGTTTATAAGAAGGTTAGTGGGTATGCAGTTGCATTTGTTGTTCTCTATGTTGATGACATCCTACTCATTGGGAATGATATAGGAATGTTACAATCAACACAGACATGGTTGTCTAAACAGTTCTCCATGAAAGATTTTGGAGAAGCATCTTTTATCCTAGGGATAAAAATCTATAGAGATAGATTTAAAAGGATGATAGGATTATCCCAGTCTGTGTACATAAATAAGGTATTAAAAAGGTTTAGTATGGAAGAATCCAAACGTGGATATATTCCAATGAGTCATGGGGTTTCACTTTCTAAGACGATGTCTCCAAAGACACCTGAAGAAAGAGAATGAATGAATCATATACCTTATGCATCAGCTATTGGCAGCATTATGTATGAAATGTTATGTACAAGACCTGATGT